ACCTTACTCCTCACGAAGGACTTATATAGATTAATTGAAATTTTGGGTTCCAAGCCCCCTTTAATCGTAGTAAGTTTAGCAATCAAGTTTTTACTATTTGATGCAATGTTCTTTACTCTCTTCACATGTTCCGCTATAGTTGAATTGGCACCGATTACCCTGCCCAGCCATTTAATTGATCTAACTTGTTCGATTTGCTTGTCATCACATTCTAACGAATATGATTTCTTGCTGGTGGTATTCATAACTAAAAACTTCGTTTTTTCAACATTAATGCTCAAATTTAACGCTTTTAAACCTGTCTGAAAGTCCTTCAATTTACCTTCTAACACTTCTAAAGCTTCACTCTCATTTTTACCCCAGCACATGAACGCAAAGTCATCAGCATACTGATACATTGTAGTATTTCCTCCCTGTAACCTGTGAAGCTTAGCCGTGTAGAAATTAAAGAGGATAGGGGAAAGGCAACTGCCTTGCGGCAGCCCATTTTCCACCAAAACTTTGCTATCACCTAAGACCAACCACCTTTTTGAGAAAAAATTGACAATCCACTTTACTATTTTGCTGTTAACTCCATAGCCTTTTAACTCGTTTCCAAGCATACCAATATTTACGCAGTCATACGCGTTAGCAATATCTAAAATGCACACCACCACTTTTTTCCCTTCTTTTTTTAACCTACTGGACCAGTATAGGAACTCGTTAATGCACATAGACGCAGACTTTCCTTTTCGATACGCGAAACTACTTTCAGGGAGTATTTTTTTACCTTCAGCCCATGTCATCAACCTTTCTTTTACCATCATGTTAAGACTTTTTGCCATGACCGAGAGTAGCGATATTGGTCTAAAATTTGTCAGATAGTTTAGATCCCTGTTCGGCTTAGGAATCGGGACGATCTTAACAATTCTCCAGTCTTCAGGAATAGTATTATCATTAAAAATCCTTTCGTATTCGGTAACAAGTACCAGCTTAGATTCTACGGGAAGTTTGTTGAGCATATTAAAGGTGATCTTGTCAGCCCCACCTGACGATTTTTTCTTTCTCCTGATGCATGCGATTAAGTCCTCAACCGAGAACTTTAAGTAGTCCGTATCGACATTACCGGTATAGACAATTGCCTCTCCTGTCATGTCGTTAGATATTAGCTTGTCAGTTTGCTCCTTCATAAGTGCAAGAAATTTTTCATTATTTTCGCTGTTCCAGTTGGTGTTTTCTCTCCTGCTTCCCTTAACCCTATTGATGAACCGCCATGCATCAGTGGTGTTAGGAGACTCATTAAGCTCAACGATTTTATTCTTATAACTTTTACTTTTTGCTTCTTTTACTGATCTCTTCCATACCTCCTCTCTCGCCCATAACTCTTCAAAATCACTAACCCTACTTGATGCTCTAGCTTTCTTCCTACTAACACAAAGAAGTCTATACTGTTTCTTTAAATCCTCATTCCACCACATTTTTGGGGAAAATCTACACGTATTCAAGTCAATGGTCGCATTTTTGATTTCACGTTGAATTTCTTTTTGCAGTTCCGGCAACCCTCCATTTACTTGACATGATGTAAGTGCTGTCTCTAACTTTCTTTTTTGAACAAAAAGATTTGGTCTTTTATCGACGTCGTTAATGTTGATGACAATTGGTCTATGATGACTTCCCCCTACGTACCCCTGATTACATAGCCATTCCATTTTGAGGACCGAGTTGGTAAAGGATAAGTCCGGAGCTGAACAAGCACCACTCGCATTACTATTCACGAAAAATGTTGGACTTCCATCATTTAAACATTTGAACCCAGCTTTGCTTACAATGTTAAACAAGACTTTACCCTTGGGAGTGTCCTTTCGGCAACCCCAGGCCAGCCTTTTCGAGTTAAAATCACCTAAAATAAACACATCTTCCCTGCAATCTAGAAAGTTTACCAGCCTACTAATTTCGTAATCGAACACATACCTATTCACGTTGGGGGGAAAGTATGCCGATACAAAAATCAAGTTTTGCTGCAAATTCATAGTTTTAGCAACCACGATATCGTGAACTGTATTATACCTGATCCTTTGCATTTTTAGGTTTTTTCTATATCCTATGGCCACACCACCATAGCCATCAGCTCTATGTTTCACAATTAAATTAAAATTTATTAGTTTATGCCCTGAGTCAATATCTCCATGTGAGAATACCTCCTGGAGTGCTACAATATCTACATTATTGTGATTAATGAAAAAATCTATAAAGTCACGATTCGATTTCAAACTCTGGCAATTAAGTTGCAATACTTTGATGGTCATTTAATACAGTATTTACACAAAGTCTATCGTCGACCTTGGTTTTAACAAGGTTGCAAAGGACTTTAACAATGGGTTCATCAGCGTTGATGTTAAACTTTTGCATCAGTTGACTAATAAGTCTTTCTATCTCTGTAACTCTTTCCCATCTAACACTTTCAAACACAGGTGCCACTGCTTCATTTCTCCTGACTTCTCGTTCTCTAATTGGCCTAGCATTTCTTTCTCGACTTCTACCTCGACTAGCTACATGGTTGTACTTGCTTCTCGTAAGTATTCTATTGGTTATTACCTCATTGTCTTGAACTTTAGCTTCCTGCAGACTAGGGAAAACTTCATCATAGCTCTCAAGCAACGAAAATCTATTTGTGCCGCTTCTGTCACCGTACATGTTCAAAACTTCACGCTTCGAAATTTTCTTGACAGTCATTATCTCAATAGTCTGCCGCTCTTTTTCCCAGCTGGGGCATTTATCTTTGTTAATTGAAATATGATTATCGCTGCCACATAAAATGCACTTTGGGTTAGGGCTTGTGCACTTGACTGGGCACCTTTCATCTTTCCCGCATATAATGCATCGATTTCTAGCACGACAAGACAACTTAGTATGCCCCAACCTACCACAGTTGTAACACTGCTTAGTTCTGGGGAAGTAGTGGTTAATTTTAAAGTTCACACAAAAAATCCTAACTTTGTCGGGTAACACATCCCCTGCAAATCCTACCTTTATTGACAAGGTGGGTATGAAATTTCCGATATTATTTGGATCTCTTCTGGTTATCCGCGATACCGACTTAACTTCAACGTCGGATAGAATGTTTGCAAAAATTTCGTCTTCGAGAAAGTCAAGCGGAACTTGCCTAATTACACCGTAAGTTTCCATAAAACTTTTAGGTATAAAGGCTCTTATCCCCATTTCAGTCAAATAATTATTATGAATGCTGGCATTTGCGTCAGCTACAGATTCGAAAAACACTTTATATAGAGACCTGCCTATGGCCAATATATCTTTGAATCCACCAAGATTAAGTCTTCTTATTTTATTAAACAAGAAAAGCCCGTTTTTAATACCCTTATTATCAAAATTACTGCTTTTGGATGTATCCATAAGTACAACTGGCTTACCCTTATAATCAGGTGGATATACGTTAACTTCCCAACTCTTATTAACATTATTTTGACCCACTGGCACATTTTGTTCGCTGACTCCTGTTGCAGCATTCAGGGACTGGCTGTTACCGCCAACCGAGCCTCCCTTAGCAGACTGCTCTACTACGGTATTACCCTCTTTACTTAAGTTTTCACTCACTGTATTTGCATTAGAAACCTGTTCATTAAAATTTTTCAAAAAACCTTCACTACCGTCACACTCTAAACCAGTCATAGTCGTCAATCCTTCCTCAGCTTGGGGAATATTATAGGTACCTTTTTTAACCAGCATTCCACTTAAGGGGGGCATACTTGGAGGTGTAGGGGACAAAAGCATGTCTTCCTCCGATTCAGTGAACTCTTCAATTAACTCATTAGAATTATCCTTCTTTCTCTTGTTCGAGTTTAGTAAATTTTTTCTTTCTCTTTTTTTCTTAACTTTACCGATCTTGCCTAACATGGCAGGCTCTTGCACAAGCGTTTTGCCGGCCATGGAAGGCAACCCTAACGACGCCGAAGCGCCCTCCATGTTTTTTAAATTTACCGCTAACCACTAGCTTGCAAATACTACAGCTTCCAGACTTACCTAAAAAGTCCAAATTACAGCCACAATAGTTTTAAATAGCTTAATCCACTAGTCACAAACTCTTTGTTACAATTTTAGTTTATATATGATTATTACAAAATTAAATACAAGAACCTTTACAAATGAAAAGAACAAAGTCACCACTTGCAAATAAACCGCAATAGAAAACACCTGCTTGATAATACGCCAAAACCACTGAACCGCTCGCTTCGACGCTACGAACAAGAATGCGAGAAAATGTTAATTCTTTTGCAAAAGTCAAATAAGTTTATGCAATCTTTTGTTTTGTTTTGGTAATCCACCCAATCGCTATGTTGCTTTATGGTTCATTCGCTCTCCAGCTGTTTGCGGTGCTGCCACCCAGTTAATAGAAGTTCTGATTAGAAATTCATCGCCGAGACAAAGAACGTAAATCTATCTAGAAATCTATATTTAGGTTTTTTGGTTTAAGCAATGAGATTTCATTTAAGACAAGCATTAAGCATTAATTTTATACTATTCAAGCAAATAAAACTGCAGAAGGTTTTTACCTGAACACCTTGTGTGCATAATATTCGATATTTTCTAACTTGTAATCTGTAATTTAACGCACTAGTCTCATTACCAAAAGCGCAACACTGGTGATTTGGAAGAAATAAAATCATTGCCCCTTTGTTCTTCCTATTCATTCTTTGAGTTGAATTCGCCCGATAAAGACGATATTGACAACGGCTCGGTTTATTTGTACTATTTCCAAAAGAAAAAGGAATATAGCAGCAATTGGATTCGTTTTATATCAATTTTTACTTTTGGGTTTGGATAAATTCAGAAATTTTCAAACGGAAAAGTTTAAACAAAAAGGGAACCATCCGTAAAATTAAGAATTGTTTTAATAAGATTTGCAAAATTTAAAGAAAAGAAGTGAAAAAGAAACCCATTCGCAAGCAAAGGAAAAATTTAAGGCAACGCAAAATCATAAACTGAAAAATCGATTAAAGGGGGGGCAGACAGGAGGAAGACTTTCGTATCTGAGCGAAAATTCATTTGGTGGAGGTCAGATTGGTGTTCGTGCATCAAATAATAACAATAAACAAATAAAAGCTTGTAATAAAAGGCGGACTTTGGTGGAAAGGCAAAAAAAAAAATTAAAAGAATATAATAAGCACCACTTTAGGAGAAAATGGCTGACGTTGAATCAAGTGCTGTTGTGCAGCAATCGTCTTCAGGTGCCAGTAGCATGAGCCTAAATTCTATACCACTATTAGCGTCCAATGAGCTGCTCGGCGAAAGCAGCAGCGCTCAAGTAAATCTCCAGCAACAACAGCAACAATCACAACCCGTTGCTGGTGCTGTTAGTGGAGGTAATGGTGGCAGCGCAGGTACATCCTCGAGTTCAGTCAACAATGCGGGATCCATAACAATGGATACTACAACTAGTGAAAATACAAGTTTAGTTAATAGTGGAGTGATTGGAAGTGGTGTTGGGGGTGGTAGTAATTCGTCTAGTGTTGGTGGGGGTAAAGTGGACAGTGGTGAGCCACCATCTAAGAAGCAAATGCTCGATCATCCGAGCACATCCTCGGGCAGTGGTAATAGTGCATCGCAACACGAAAAGCTCGAGTATCGTCTGGGAGGGATTTTATGTTGTGCTGTTTGCTTGGATTTGCCGAAGACAGCTATGTATCAGGTGAGTACCTAATAATTTTGCACAAAATTGTGAAAATGGGTAGTGGGTGGAACATTTTATTTTTTTATTTATATTTTTTATTTTTTGCATTACCTTTTTAATTTGATTAAAAAATAAAATAAATTAAAAAATGCAAGCCTATCTTGCTCGAATCAGCAACTTTAACATACGAATGTCCTAAATGCCGATAAAACCATCAAGGTAAAATAATCTCCAAAAGAAAGAAACAAACGTGGCTGTACGTACATATGTAAAACATTTGTGCTTAAGCATACCTACATATTCTATAGTGCTTATTTGGGTATATAAACTAAATTGGTTTTATTAAGACGCAGAAAGTTCACAATGCAAACACGCTGCCAGCTCATGAACGACAACAAACCCAAAACTTTCCTTCTCGTATACATACATCCACTTACGTACACATGGATACACTTTTTATTTGTGTACTATAATAGTTTCAACAAAACTAGAATCACTTGGACAAAAGTAGGCAAGATCAGCTGTGTGTCAACGCTATGGTGCCACTATCGCGATTCCCGTTGTATTGTATTGGCTATCTACTCCCTCTCTCTACTGTGTATAATGCCTGGGGAAGATCCATTAATACATAAGAGCCGTAGTATTTGGGTTTTTTTTGGTAAAACAGCATATCTCATTTTAACATATTTTGATTTTTGAGCACTAATTTACGGTCTTACCAAAAATTTAACACTTAAATGAAAGATTGGCGCTTAAAGGCATAATTGAAATATTATTCTGTTTAACAAAAAATTTTAACAAAGTACACAAAATAGTAATTAAGTGCCTTTCAACACAGAAAAGCCGAATTAAAATAGTTGTAATGGATGAAAGTCTACAGAATTCAGTTGTCATAGTTTTTGTGACTTGCTGAGCAATTGTGGTTGTTTTTTGGGTGTTCCTCTTTGTTATTGATGGTGGTGGAAAATCATGGTTAGGTGATATGTATGTATGTATTCGTGTTTGTGTTGTGGACTCTTCAATTCGTAGTGAATGTGAACTGTGAGTGCGATTGTTTTCGTTTATTTATTTTTTTTTTATCAAGGGACGTAAGGTGGGCAGGGCTGCCAATTTAGCTCCAACCGTGCCATTTTTGGCCCTATTGTACTTCAAATGGCACTTAATTTTTTAATTTGACACAAAGTGCCAAAATTGCGCTTTTGAAAAATAGTAGTATTTCAATACATTACATAGTGTATACTACAACTAGTTTATCTTACTTTGGCATTGGACTTTGGTTTTAGGAATAAGTTTCTAATTTTAATGCTAAATGGGAATAATTAAAAACAGTGACGCCTTTTTTGACAATTTTATTTTTCTATTTGGCACATTTTGGCACTTTTTTATCCTCAATATGGCACTTCATAGCTAAATATAGTAGTTGGCAGCCCTGAAGGTGGGGCTGTATATCAATGTCCGACTCGTTACGTATCTGATCGGCTGTTCCTCTACCTCAATTGCTTTAGCTCGCCTCAGCTGAGTTTGTTTTTACTTATCTGCTGCTTCTTACACATACATATATTTTATGTATGAACGAATATGTATTTCGTATATATACATATATATGTATATACATATGTAAATATGTATGCAGTATATATGTACATAAATACATATATACACCATCTTGTTTGGTATAGCTGACAAGAGACTTTTGGGTATTTGTTTATCTGTTATGCGCACGCCGTTGTTTCCGCTCTTGACTTTCGTCGCTTTAAAGCAGACATATGATTTTTGATACATTGCATTCACCATGCTTCCATTCCTTTTATTTACATTACATATAGATACATATATGCGAATGTGCATATATATGTAAGGATACATATACATATATATGCGTAGTTATCTAAACAAATATATATACATACATAAATACAATTGTGCAAAACATAATAAAAATATTGAGCCTCCTTGAGTAATTTTCTTTATAAAAGTATAGCTCAATATCTAATAAAAACCATATATGTACATACGTACATACATACATGCAAACTTTGTGCAAAATTATAAAAAATACAAAAAATGCAGTTTTAGCATGTATAATAAAGTGCAAGTTTCAAGTGGCTACAAAATACCGTTTATACTTTTTTTAAAAATTAGTAAACATTAAACAAACAAAAGAAAAATGTCAAAATTAGTGAAAATGTCGCACTAGTTATTATTTTGCACGCAGTTGTACGTTCTCCTAGGCATCAGTGGTACACAAACCCTGTGGGAAAATGTAATATATGATAATTGAAAAAATAATCAGGAAAACAACCGTTTTCACATTCGAAAATGCATTATTTTTCCCACGGCGATGTCCGTCCTAAGAAAAGTGGGGCATTTAATTTTGCTTACCAGTAATGCAGGAATGAATGCGATTTTTTGTGACTTTTTGGATACATCAAAATACTGGTTACATATGTATTAAACAATAATAGAATCTAGAACTCATAAGAAATACATTACATTATTTATCACGCGTGTAATGCGTTACTGCTTTTCCCACTGAGAAGTTTTGGCTTAACTGGTTTGAATAGAAAGAAGGCAGAATCGATAGGATGTTAAACAAACTAGGGAAAAAATTAATAATAAAACGTAATTTATGAAAAAATTCAATTCAATTCGCTTCTCTTGCCCTTGGTCGGATGCATATGAATGTACATACAAATGTATGTATGCATGTGCTGAACACAAATATACTTTTTACATATGTATATACACGCGCTTAGAAACACACCTGTTGGGTAAATGAAAACGATGATTTTGATTTGGTATTAGGTGAAT